GGGGATTTTGGGGGTCCTGGGATAATTTTGAGGGAGTTTGGGGGAAGATTTGGGGGGTTTGGGGGGAAATTCGGGGATTTTGGGGGGAAATTCGGGGATTTTGGGGGTCCTGGGATAATTTTGAGGGAGTTTGGGGAGAAATTTGGGGATTTTGGGGGGAAATTCGGGGATTTTGGGGGGAAATTTGGGGATTTTCGGGGAAAATTTGGGGATATTGGGGGGGATTTGGGGGAAAATTCAGGGATTTTGGGAGTCCTGCGAAAGCTTTGAGGGTATTTGAGTGGAAATTCCAGGATTTTGGGGGATCCTACAAAACTTTTGATTGGATTTCGGGCAGAAATCCCAAAATTTTCAAGCGCTGCCACTTCCCACTCCCAAAAACCTCCCAACATCACAACATCCCCCAAAACCATTTAATCACCTTTAAACCCCCCCCAAACAACCCAAAACCTTTAATTTTTCCTTTTTCCGCCCTTTTTTCCCAACCCCTGATAATTTTTCCAACATTTTAAATTTTTTTTGAAATATTTTCAGGCGACGATTCTTGGGATTTAATTACCTGCTACTGCCAAAAACCTTTTGCTGGCCGGCCCATGATCGAGTGTAGCCAATGTGGCACCTGGATTCACCTTTCCTGCGCCAAGGTGAAGAAAAACAACGTCCCCGACGTCTTTTATTGCCAAAAATGCCGCGAGGGACCCCGCAGGGCCACCCCCGCCACCCCCAGAACCACGGGGGACCCTTAAAAAACCCTCCCCAACCTCGTTTTTGGGGGGTTAAAAACTTTTAATTCCATTATTTTTAAAGCTCTGGGGTTTTCCAGTTGAGGTTTGGACGCTTCTCTCCTCTAAAAAAAAAAAAGGTTTTAGGGGGTGGTTGTTAAAAATTGAATTTTTTGGGGTTTTTTTTTTTTTGGGGGGGTTTTGGAAGGGTTGGAATAATCCTGAAATGAGGTTTGGAGATTTTGGGTTGGAATTGGGAGGGTTTTAAGGATTGGGAAACAGGCAGAATTTAAGATTTTTATTGGTTTTTTGTTTTTTTTAGGGGGTTTGGAAGATTTTTTTTTTTTTTTGGAATTGTGGGGTTTGGAGGTGAAGCCAAAATTAAAAAAGATTTTTGGGGTTTTGGAACCTCCCCTGGAAATTGGGATATTTTAGAGCACCCAAAAATGAGGATTTTTGGGGGGGTTTTCACCTCGAATCGAGAGATTTTGAGGTTTGGAAACCCCTTCACGTAAATTATGAGGGTTTGGGGTTTTTAAAACCCCGAAAATTGTGAGATTTTGGGGTTTTCTTCCCTCAAAAATGGGGAGTTTTACCCGTAAATTGCGAGGTTTTGGGGTTCAGGTTAAATTTCGGGGGAGGTTTTTTGGGGTCCCTCATCTGCAGGACAGGAGGGTTTCGGGGTAGAAGATTTGGGTTTTTCTTACCCCAAATCACGAATTTTTTTGGGGGTTCACCCTTAAAATGGGAAGATTTGGGTTTCCCTCACCCCAAATTAAGATTTGGGGAACCCCCCTTTAAATAGGGGAGGTTTTTGGGGGGATCCTACCCCGAATTATGAGATTTTGGGGTCCCCCCACTGCCAGGAAAGGAAAGTTTGGGGGGTCCTTCACCCCAGACAAAAAGATTTTGGGGGAATCTCCCTAAAATAGGGAGATTTTTGGGGTGTTCTTTGCCCCAAATCATGAGATTTTGGGGTGTCCCACCCCCCAGAAAAGGAAAAATTCGGGAGCCCCGCACCCAAAACTAAGATTTTTGGGGGAAAACTCCCCTAAAACAGGAAGTTTTGGGGTCCCCTACCCCAAAAAAAAAGAGAATTTTGGGGTTCCCTGCCCCGTGTTAGGAGGTTTTGGGGTCCCAGTTAAAATTTTTTGGGGGGGACCCCACAAAGTTCAAGGAGTTTTGGGGTTTTTTTAACCCCTTCCCTCTCCCAGGGCACGAAATTTCGGGGGGGGGTGTTTCTGTACCCCAATTCGTGAAGTTTTGGGGTGTCATCTGTAGATTTTTTGGGGGGGGGAGAGGGGAATTTGGGGGGTTTCCCTCAACCCCAAACTCCGAGGTTTTGGAAACCGAGTTTTTTCACACGTGTGTTATTTTTCTAAACGTGTTTCCCCGCACCCCCACTTTTTTTGGGGGGGGGCCTCTCCCAGGTTTTTTGGGGGGTGTTTAGAGCATCAAAATGGGGAGGGGGCACCCCAAAAATTCCCAGTTTGGGGAGGAGTTTAAGGAGAGGATTTGGGGGATTCTCTCCCCTTAAACCTCCCCCAGTTGGAATTTTGGGGGTCCTCCCCCCCCCCCTCTCTCCCTCCTACACCTTTTATTCCCTTCCCCTCTTTGTTTGAAGGATAATATTTTGGATTTTTTGGGGGGGCTGCAGCCTCTCCTCCAACCCCCCGTTGTAAATAAACGGCGCCGTTGCTTCGTACCTGCGCGGGGTTGGCGTCTGTCTGTCCGTCTGCTGCACCCCAAAAGCACGAAAGGAGCCCCAGAAACGTGAGGGGAAAATGGAGGGGAAACGTGAGGGGGGAAAATGGGGGAGAAACGTGAGGGGAGAAAAGGGCGGGAAAACATGAGGGGAGAAAAGGGCGGGAAACGTGAGGGGAAAATGTGAGGGAGGAAAACAGGGGGAAAATGTGAGGGGAGAAAAGAGCGGGAAACGTGAGGGGAGAAAAGCATGAGAAACATGAAGGGAGAAACGGATGGGAAACACGAGGGGAGAAAAGAGCGGGAAACGTGAGGGGAGAAAAGCATGAGAAACATGAAGGGAGAAACGGATGGGAAACACGAGGGGAGAAAAGAGCGGGAAACGTGAGGGGAGAAAAGCATGAGAAACATGAAGGGAGAAACGGATGGGAAACACGAGGGGAGAAAAGAGCGGGAAACGTGAGGGGAGAAAAGCATGAGAAACATGAAGGGAGAAACGGATGGGAAACACGAGGGGAGAAAAGAGCGGGAAACGTGAGGGGAGAAAAGCATGAGAAACATGAAGGGAGAAACGGATGGGAAACACGAGGGGAGAAAAGAGCGGGAAACACGCGGGGAGAAAAAGGGTGGGAAACGTGAGAGGAGAAATTGGGGGTTAAAATGTGAGGGGAGAAAAGCGGGAAATGTGAGGGGAGGAAAACAGTGGGAAACGTGAGGGGAAAATGGGGGAAATGTGAGGGGAGAAAAGGGCGGGAAACGTGAGGGGAGAAAAGCGGGAAATGTGAGGGGAGGAAAACAGTGGGAAACGTGAGGGGAAAATGGGGGAAATGTGAGGGGAGAAAAGGGCGGGAAACGTGAGGGGAGAAAAGCGGGAAATGTGAGGGGAGGAAAACAGTGGGAAACGTGAGGGGAAAATGGGGGAAATGTGAGGGGAGAAAAGGGTGGGAAACGTGAGGGGAGAAAAGAGCGGGAAACATGAGGGGAGAAATTGGGGGTTAAAATGTGAGGGGAGAAAAGAGCGGGAAACATGAGGGGAGAAAAAGGGTGGGAAACGTGAGGGGAAAATGGGGGAAATGTGAGGGGAGAAAAGGGTGGGAAATGTGAGGGGAGAAAAGAGCGGGAAACGTGAGGGGAGAAAAGCATGAGAAACATGAAGGGAGAAACGGATGGGAAACACGAGGGGAGAAAAGAGCGGGAAACACGCGGGGAGAAAAAGGGGGGGAAAGGTGAGAGGAGAAATTGGGGGTTAAAATGTGAGGGGAGAAAATGGGGGGAAGCGTGAAGGGAGAAAAGAGCGGGAAACGTGAGGGGAGAAAATGGGGAAACGAGGGGAAAATGGGGGAAAATGTGAGGGGAGAAAACAACAGGAAACATGAGGGGAGAGAATGGGGAAACGAGGGGAAAATGGGGGAAAATGTGAGGGGAGAAAACAGCAGGAAATGTGAGGGGAAAATGGGGGAAACGTGAGGGGAGAAAAGGGCGGGAAACGTGAGGGGAGAAAAGCGGGAAATGTGAGGGGAGGAAAACAGTGGGAAACGTGAGGGGAAAATGGGGGAAATGTGAGGGGAGAAAAGGGTGGGAAACGTGAGGGGAGAAAAGGGCGGGAAACGTGAGGGGAGAAAAGGGCGGGAAATGTGAGGGGAGAAATTGGGGGTTAAAGTGTGAGGGGAGAAAACAGCAGGAAACGTGAGGGGAGAAAATGGGGAAACGAGGAGAAAATGGGGGAAAATGTGAGGGGAGAAAACAGCAGGAAACGTGAGGGGAAAATGGGGGAAACATGAGGGGAGAAAAGAGCGGGAAACGTGAGGGGAGAAAAAGAGCGGGAAATGTGAGGGGAGAAAAGAGCGGGAAACATGAGGGGAGAAAAGAGCGGAAAGCGTGAGGGGAGAAAATGGGGGAGAAACGTGAGGGGAGAAAAGAGCGGGAAATGTGGGGAGAAAAGCGTGAGAAACATGAAGGGAGAAACGGATGTGAAACATGAGGGATAAGGTAGGAAATGTGATGGGGAAGAGAGAGAAATGTGAGGGGGAATATGGTGGGAAATGTATGGGGAAAAGGGTGGAGATGTGATGGGACAGGGTGGTAGAAATGTGAGAGGAGAAGGTGGGAAACGTGAGGGATAAGAGGAGATGTGAGGGAGAAAAGAGGGAAGTGTGAGGGGGTCAAAGAGCGAAGATGCGACGGGACAAGACGGCAGAAACGTGAGGGGAAAATGGGTGAGATGTGGGGACAATGAAATGTGAGGGGGAAATGTGAGTGGTGAACGTGAGGGGGAAAAGGGCAGGAAAAATTGGGAGAAGTGAGGGGGAATGGTGGGAAACGTTAGAGGAGAAAATGGTTGGAAAAGTGAGGGCAAAAACCAACAAGAAACGGGTATGAAGTGGAAAATGTGAGGCGAAAAAAGGGCAAGAAATGTGAGGAGAAAAGGTGGTAGAAATGCAAGGGGAAAAGGGTGGGAAATTGATGGGGGAAAGATGGCAAAAACATGAGGGGGAAAGGTGGGAAACGTGAAGCGAAAAAGGGGGGAAAGGTGAGGGGGAAAGGGTGGAGACATTTTAATGAGCCCGTGATTTTATTTAAACTGAAGACCCTAAAAATCACCCATTACTTTGGTGTGGGGGGTGGATCCCCTAAAGCTAAACCCTGAGAACAGCGAATAAAACCAGGTTTCTCTTCAAATTTTAAATCTCTAACACCACCTGTTATTTTGGGTTAAATTAAACTCTAAAAACGGTGTAGAAACCAGACTTGTTTCTAAATTCGAATGCCTAAAGATCACCTAATAATTCGGGGGGGATGTCTCCCGTAAAACTAAACCTTAAAAACAGCGGGAAAAAGCCGGGATGCTCTTTAAATTTTAACCCCTGAAAATCAGATTTAAATTTAGAAAAAGCGATCCCTAAAATTAAGCCTCAGCAAAATTAAAAATAAAAATTTACCTCAATTCAAACTCCTTCAGCAGCGCCTCCGAGCCTTTAAACCCCACCCCTCACGCCAGGCCACGCCCACATCAACCATCACCACGGCAACAACACGGGGGCGTAATATAACCTCGCGTTATTAGCATAAATTAGCATAAATTAGCATAGTTATTTGGGCGGGTTCACTACGGTTCCCAGCGTGCCCCGCGCGCCGAGGCCACGCCCACGGCCGTGACCTTGTGTGAGGGGAAGGGGGGGGGCTTGGGGACACCCCGGGGACACCCCCGGATTTATCGCGACAGCGGCGACAGCGGCGACATGGCCGGGCTGGGGCTGGGAGCGGGGCTGCGGCTGCTGCGGCGGATCCCGCCCGGGTGAGGATTTGAGTGGGGGGAACACCAAAATTTGGGATTTGGGGGGGATTCTCGGAAGGTTCTGGAAGTTTGGGGGGTCCTGAGGTTTTGGGGGCGCTGGGATTTTTTTGGGTTTTTTGGGATTTTGGGTTTTTTTTTGGGGGGGGGTCTCGGAATTGGGGGTTTTGAAGGTTCTGGAAGTTTGGGGGTTCGGATTGAGGAATTTGAGGGGAGCTTTTGTGGGGGGATCCCAAATCTTGTGGGGATTTTGGGGAACCCCCAGAATTTGGGGAGTTGGGGAATGGGAATTTGGGGGGGGGAGGGGTCTCAGAGTTGTTTTTTTGGGGGGAATCCTTTTTTAAAACCCCCTCAATTCACAGAATTGGGGCGCCCCGGCTGCAGAGCACGCACGAGGCACAGGTAAGAAAACCTCTAAAATTCCAGAAAATTCCAGAAAATTCCACAGAATTCCACAAAATTCCAGCCCCAAATCCTTCCCAAATCCCTTTAAAAAAGGATCCCAAAGAAAACCGCGCCCCTCCCTCACGCGCGTGACGTCAGAACTGGGGCAAAGGGCGGGAAGTGGAAACTGGGGGAAAGGTCAAGGGG